GTGCTGCAGGAACCAGTTTGGTTTGAATTTTATGTGTATTTGGTTGAAAATTTACGAGTTTGGCGAATAAAGCAGCAAAGAATTCAATGAACTCGTCTTCACTTGGACTTCTAAGCCAGCTCAGCAGCGACTCCAGCAAACACATGTAGTTTAAGCGTTTACACAAACACACACACACGCATATATGTATATATATATATATATATATCTAAAGGTATATAGCACAAAGACAGTTAAAGTGGAGGCCTATCTACCTCCTAGTTATGCAAATGCCTGCCTGTCCGCCTGCCCACCCGCTGCAGTAGGCTCTAAGGCCAGGAAATTGCTTTCGAATTGGTTTACCTACGAATTTTTATGCCAGCCAAGAACAACAACAGCAGCGATTGTTGTTGTTGTTGCTGTTGCTGCTGTTGCTGTTGCAGTTGTTCACTTGTAGCTGCAGGTTGTCGTAACATTTGTCTTGTCATTGCAGTTTGTAGATCCTGCTGCGGCACAGCCTCAAATTCGCAACATCCACTTCACAGCCGCAGCCCCAGCCCCAGCCACAGCCCCAGCCCCCTGATTATGCCCTTTCAGACTTTGGGCAATTAGCTGCGAGCTCCGACTCGACTGCAGCCAGTTTCGGTCAGTTTGTCATTTGTTAGCCGCTGCTTCGCTCGGCTCGTCTCTAACGCATTCTTGCCTCTCTTGCCTAAATCGTGGCCAAGTTATAATTAAAATGCAGACGGAGAGCAGCAATTTATGGCCAAAAGAGCTGGCCATTTAAGTATTAATAGCCATCATTTAGGGTCTTTAAAATCTGTTGGCATCTTAATAAAGATGCACCACAATTAAATCACTGAAAGCTTCTCTGGCGATGTTAGGAGAGATCATGAGAAAGCTCAACATGTATTTAAGTAATTACGTGTTTGTCAATATATTTAACTTTTAATTGTTTAACAACTTTTGATCATAAGGCATCGATAGCACATTATAGATAATCAAAGAAATGGTTAAAAATTATAAATATTTCTGCTATAACGTATCAATAGCAAATTATCGATCGTCATAAAATTAAATTCAAATACTATTTTGGATCGGATCATTATTGAATAGCCCAAATCGTTTTTTAGAGGAATGAATTATCTTTCAAACGATAACAAAGTGAAATATCGATTAATCAAATACATTGTAAGATGAATTTTGAATGGTTATTTATATAATTTATAACAATTTGACTACTTAACACTACTTAACGGAACATTTAGCAAAACAGTTTGAGCTATCTCTAATTATTATCGATAACATATATCTAATTAAAAGAATGTACATAAATGTCATGATATCATAGTCCAAGTTTTGCTCTCTATATTCTCATATTTATTCCTCAATACATACCAATACAATTTATATACCCCAAAAGTTATCGAAAACTTAGGTCCTGAATAATTAAACTTATTTAAAGCACATTTTAAAAGCACTTACTTCAACAATTATACATTTATTAATTAATTGATACAAATCGATACATTTTAAATTCGCAAAAACCGGTCAGAAAGCTTGAAAAGGTAAACTAAGGTCCTTGAAAAACTGTTCTTATGAGTAAACTGTTATCGGTAGCATATAAAGTCAGTTAAATTTAACTGGCCATATGCATAAATTCACTTAACACTAGCTGGACAAGCATGGACGCGCGTTCACATACTTATGCTGGCAACTGTGCCAAGTTAGAAAGAGACTCTTCTTGAGTTACACAAAGTTCTTTCGCAACTAGAGACACGAGTTGAGGTTAAGTCTTGCATAAACAAACTTGGTTCGCAATCGGACACTACGTGAGCTGAACTGAACTGAACTGAACTGAACACTAACCAAGCTGAGATGCAGCTCCCCGCACGGCTTGCAGCTTCCCTGGTCCAAGTGCAGTTTCCGCTTTCAGCTGCCTTTCGAAGTGCTACAGTTATCCAGTGGCAAATACAGTTATACACACAAGCACGCTCACACATACTCGCACAATTCACATACGTGCCTTCAGTCTTTTGGGACGACATTAGATTACAGCAGCCACTGAAAAGAGATCTACAAAGCGTCGTAGCTATCTATGCAAATTCCTCTCGATCGTCTCGCGAAACGTGTCCAAGAAAGAAGAAGCTGAAACACAAGACAGAATAAAACACTGCGAGCAAATGTATATTCCTACCTATATACTTGTACATATTGTAATATAAGTGCTTTTGTTCAGTTGTTCATTCGATAAAATGCAGTTGTTCTCTATTTCGAAGAGAACGTGTCGAACGTGCGAAATGTTCAGCAGATTAGCATCCAATTAAACTAATTTTTTTTTTTTTGGCTTGTTTTTCATCTCTGTGTGTTTTGCTATCTCACACCTGGGCGCCTCATAAATCAAGAGAGTGGCCTGGCCATGATGTAAGAGCCGTAATATCATTGTGATTAATTTATTGAAATTAACATAAATGGCAACAGCTTTAACTTGTACGCAGGCCCGGGTCCCGACACAGCCAACTTTTTCGGCCAACATTTATAATTAAATTTAATTACCTCTGCTGCTTCTTAATGATGCACTCCACAAGCAACGAAAATAAAAGGTGTCCCGACTAGAGAGCGGAGGGAATGAAACCCGTTTTCAGCGTAAATGAATGTGGCATTTTATTAAATAAATAATTATGAATGAAAGAGTAAATAACTATGTGTGTGTGTGTGTGTGTGTCAGTGAGAGAGACAAACACATTAACTCTTACTTGTAGCCAAAATGCGAGCTGGCAAAAAGGTTTCATCGACGAAATTTGAGAATTTGCGAACAGGCGAAGGGTAAATGTATATATGTATGTATGTATATAAAATTATGAGATCCTACGAATGCCATAAACAACAAAAATTGTCAGAGGAAGGGCAGTAATTGAGGGAGAGCTTTCAAACCACATTTTAAAATACCACAAAGGGGAGCAAGAGCAAAAAGAAGTAAATGAAATGAAAACATTTACAATAAAAATGCAAAAATACAATGTTTAAGGGCAGAGTTACTAAGGGGGAGTATATAAAAAATATTTTTATAGGGAATTTTATTTATAGAACATTTTATTTACTACGACAGCTACTAAGCAATTGGATTTATTAGCATTTAAATTTTTTTTATTTTACTAAATACTTGAATCTATTTTTATTACTTTGAAAAGATTATAAAATTTCATTTGAAGAAGCTTCAGCTAAATCATAGTTAGAGAAAGACTTATTCATAATTCTAAAAAATATAAGAGGAGATAGGAAGTGAAAGAGTCCCAAAAGGAAAGTCAACAAACACAAGAAAATAACAGAAAAATAACACGCATAAAACATAATTGAAGGAAACTTCTTGAAAACAAAAGCAAAAAATGTTTGCTAGAAAAATACCAAATGTTATGACGGAAAAAGAAGGAAAGACAATAATTCCACCGAGTATTTCATAATTACTCAGTTAATTCTGCAGAAGTTTTCTGCTGAAATTAAAACACATGTCCTCTGCGTCTCCTTCCTCTACACACAAATAAATTATCTATCTTCAAAGAACACGCTAAGAAAAATGGCATAGAAACACTGAACAAGCGACATTTTCGCATCTTTACTCAAACCAACTCTTTTTGCCAGTTCCAAGAAGGAGGTGCTAAAAATTTCATAAATATGTTAGAAAAACACACTCCCAAATAGATTGCAAAAAAAGTATTATAAAAAGTAGATTTAGCAAATACAGAATTTAGAACACCTTGCGGCTGATGGGAAAAGCAAATAAAAACTAAAAAGGGGAACACAAGCGCAACTCAGATTTGTTTCTGATAACGTTAACAACCCATAAAAACTGGAAACAAAGAAATAAAGAGAATGTTGGTTTCTTCTCTTCAGATGTAGAAAGATTCTAAATTCTGCTTTAATTATGCAGATTAATAAAAATTTCGTCTAATTGGCGTATTCAGAAAGACAAGAGGCTCTATCAGGCATCTCATCTACATGCGTCCCGGTTGCCCTCAGATTTCGCTCGTTCCTCCTGGCCAAAAGTGTGTCAGCTAACGGTTTGTCGGCCCTTCGTCTCTCATGAAATGCCTTCAATGATAATTAATAAAAATTTTGGCCCGTTTCTAGGCCAATAGAAAATTGTATACAGCACGAACCCAAACAAACCGGCTAAACGCAACCAGACAGGGGCCGAGGGGCGGGCCGCGCCAGGGGGGTGGGCAGACACAGGGTTGCATTTCGAAAGGGTGGCAACGAGCCAGCGCCAAGCAAAACGAAACAAAACAAAACAAAACCAAGCAACACAAAACAGAAGAAAAGCCAGCAATGGGCCACAGCTGGCTTCGGTTGGGCATGAAAATCAAATAAGAATTTATTGATTTTTCTTATTTGCCAGCGCGCAAAAACAAAGTCAAGGAAGTGGCCAATAAAAATAATTTGCAAACAAACAAAAACAAAGCAAAACACAACTGAAAAGCGAAACGAAGCGAGGCGAACCAGCGCCAAAAACAAAACTGGCAAAAACAATGTCAATGCACGCCAAAATAAAAGCAATGAACAAGACGAAGAAGAAGAAGAGGCGAAAAAGAAGCCGCCGCACGCAAAGACAAGAACAAGCAAAGCAGACAGCAACAACAACAGCAACAATGCGCGTAGCTAAGCACGCAAAGGGTGGAGTAGAAGGAGATGAGAATGGGCCAAGGGGGTGCACGGGGGGCAGTGTTGTAAATGTCAGCTCAAGTTAACGGAGCCACGCGGAACACCACACACGCAAGCAACAACAACAACAACAATGACAAAAGAAATGGTTTGTTGTGCAGCGCCAGGCAAACAACAACAGACAGACAACAACAAACAGACAGCGGCACCTGCTGCCGCCGCCGAGGTTCTATGCGAACCATTCCGTTGCGCTCCGACATGTCTGTCCGTCAGTTCGTTAAATTGTGTTGTTGTTGTTGTTGTTGTTGCTTAGCTCCTGGTCGCGTGGCAGCGACACTTGACGTTCAATTCGACTGACTTACCAGCGCTCCTCGCTACTGCTGAGCCGCTGCCTCTGCTTGGGCCTCTGCCTGTGCCTCTGGCTCTGCTGTTACTTTGATTTGGCTGTCAAAACGTTGGCTGCGCTGCTTTTAAAGCAACAGCAACGAACGCCTCTGCGGCTTTACGGTAAAAAAAAAGAATAAGAAACGCACACACACTGCACTGCACTGAACTATGTTGTAATTTAACCTTTTTTTCTCAATTTTTTTATTTATTTAATTATTTATACAACTTTTAAAAATATTCACGGTAATAATTTTTTTATGCTTATTACATTTAATTTTCACTCATTTGATACGGCCAACAGCTGACTGTGTTTGCTTTGCTGCCGATTTTAGTGGGACTTTTCACGCGCCCTCACACACACACATTCACGTACGCACGCTGATACACGGACACAGAACGCCTGCACCTGTGTGCGAGAGTTGTCGAAGAATTTGGTGAAATGCAACGTTTGACTTCGCGCGCGTCCCACTTCCAGCTGCTTCAACGTTCGAAAATCGACTGACTCTGAGTGAAGCGAGAGTCCAATGCAAACGACTCAAACTTGTGTGTGTAGCGAATCGGTTTGGCCTGCGCCGGCTAACCGTTGGTTCGCCTCGCAACATGTTCGATGTGGGAGTGCGTGCGTGCATGGGTGTGGGTGTGTGTGTGCCTGGGTCAGTCTGGGATAAGCCTCGAGTGATAAAAGGTTGCCATGCTCTACAGGCAACATTTTTGCTTATTTTCTTGTTTCTTAGCTATGCGGGTGCCCCAATCTCAATATGTGTTATCTATAAATAGTACGTACAGCGAAAACTGTAGCATAGGCCCATTTTAGCTGCATGACTGAATATTTTAAGATTCAAGCTAAATTTTATTTATTGTTCGCCAATACAGGTCTCAGTTCTGGGTTACTCAGAATATGTCTAAGGCCCTTCTTCCACTCTTTGTTTTTTTCCGTTCCTCCCTTTGTTTAAGGGTAAGTACTTAAGTTATTCCTAGAGCTACAGCATTGCGATTTATGGCATTTACCTTTCGACTCAAGACTACAGAAAGATATTTGACTTTTCTTTTTTTTATTAAAGAAAATTGTTTATTTATTAAAGTAGACTAAATATTTTTATTTGTTATCATTTATTTTATTTTTAATTGTAATATAATATTTACTTTTTTTAAAATTAGTTTCTATTTGTTTTATTATATTTTCATCTTCTTTTCTCCTTTTTTATTATAAATCAGAGTTTCATATTATATTCCTTTCAAAGGAAACTTAATTTTCTTTTCGATTTGCAGTCAATAACATGTTGACTCAAAGGAAATGCAATTATCGCATGAATGACCACTTACAAATATCTTCCAAAAGTCACAAACAGTTTCAATGGGCCATAAATCTTATTTGGAACTTTTACTTATCATTCTACTAAAAAAGTTGCACAAATTGTTTGATTGTGGCCTAAGTGAGGTATTCATTCTCTTTGTGACTAATAATAATAGATAAGGCGACGTTTCAAGGTATACAAATGGGTGCGCTGAAACCAATTTAACATTACTTAAAAAACTGGCAATTACAGATTAAATGAAACGATACTACAAAATTAGCTTTAATCAGAAGAAGATTTCGATTAATTTTTTAAGGTCTTTTTTATTGATGTTCGTTTTGACTTAAATTAGCTTTGCACTAAAAATCAATTCTCTGATATCTTAGCATAAGTAGTATTTCATTAGTATGTGGCTTAGAATAATTTGTATCTCATTATACTTACAGCCTGTAAATTAGATGTTCACAAAAAATGAACAGCTTTCTGTAACAATTAGTATACATTACTAAATATTTTTGTAGTACGATAAAACTATATATTTACGATCCGCTCAGCGCTGCCAACTTGTAGCATTGACTTCCAACCTGTTGTCAAGTTCTAGCAGCAGCCTCGAACATGTTGGCTCCGGTCAGCGCATCTCTGATGCAACAGCAGGCAACACACGATGTTCGCAGCCGGCATTCAAGGCGCGTCGAACATGTTGCGAGTGAAGCACTTGACGCTGCGTCGCATGCACGTGGCTCATTTGCATTTGCGGTTGTGTTTTGTTGTGCATTAGCCGAGGGGGTTGACGGTTGGGCGGGGGGCGGGGAGCGGGCTTGTAAAAGTTGGAAATTGCGGCAAATTTATGGTTTAGAGCTGAAAATATTTCTGCAGGTGATTGAATATTAAAAATTGATAAAGCGCATGGATTGACAACCTTATATATAGGAATTTGGAGTTTATAATTATAATTTTATAATATTATTGCCAGTCCATCAACTGGTGTTAATGGTAAAAAATAATTAATAATTAAAACTTGGAATTTGTAGTTGTACAAGAGTTTGAAGTAAAAATAGAGAACTGTTTTCAAAGTGCATGAAAAGCTCGAAAAACTCTCCCTCTCTCTCTCTCTCTCTCTTACCAGCTTACTCAGCTATTTAAATTGAATAAAATTTGTCATCTAATTAACTAAACAAGTTTAAGGCTTCGCTCATAAACAGCTTTCAAAGTGACTTTAAACTGATATTATTTTGTGTTCATTCAGCACTTAATTGATTCAGACACAAGCTGACTTTCGCCTTAAGATGCAAACACGTTTCGAGGCACTTTAAAAAGCTTTTAGTTGGACTTTATGCGACTTGAGTCTCTTTAGAGTTTGTCACTTTTATGCAAAAGTTAATTAATTAGTGTTAGAAAACAGCTTTAAAAGCTCATTAAAAACTAGATGCACTTGCAGCCAATTAGAACTTGTCACCCTGCATAGCTGCGCTTCTAAACTTTGATTTTTGCACAGCAAACGAAACGAATTAATCTTTATTAAATAATAGATGGAAGTCCCGCAGCTTTTATTTGATTGAACAGCTGCTGCTGCTGCTGCTTCTGTGGTCAATAGCCAGGGGCCAATTGCAAATTGCAGGTGGCAGATGCACTTTTTCAGATAATATACAAATCGATTTTTAGCACTTGGCAATTGGCTCGACTGGGCCACAAATTGACAATTTTGGATGGCGACGAAACTGCACTTGGATTGCAGCAATTTCCGACGCTTTCCCGGATCGCTTTCCCAGTTGACGGCCGTTGCACTTTTCATTTTTGTTTGCGTTTTCATTTGAAAAGGACAAGAATCGCAATCAACTTTGCTCACTTTTTCTTTTTTTTTTTTTTTTTACTTGAAGTTTTACGTTTTGCTTTTTCTTTTTTCGCAAAACTGAAACAGAAGTTGGCCCGAAACGAGCTCACAAAGTTTTCCACTGTTTGCCCTGCTGTCTATTGATAAACTTGACGTCGTATGCACAAGTGCATTTTATTTGGCAAACATCTTCTCCTCTCCCTTCCTCTCTCGCTTGCTCACTCTCTTGTGACAATTGAAGCCTTTGTTTAGAAATTGTGCTAACTCGCGGCCAGAGTCGACTTGAAATATGCATATAAAGATGTTCCCTGGCTGCCAACTAACCAAGTGAAACCTCGCTCGACTCGAGTTTCACCAGGCTTCAATTCTATCCAAGCCAAAAACTTTGTGACTGAACTCAATTTGAGGTTTTCAATTAAGGGTAAAGTCTGGGGATTTCAAAATGGATTTCCCATATTTACTTTTCGGGCAAAAGACTTTCAGTTCAGAATTTAGATTCTATTTCGTTGACAGAATTTTTTATAAGCGTAGTACTTCCTTCAATCTAAAACGTTGAATGATTTATTATACATCTATGATCTTCTGTCGTCATCAGCATATGTTATATATAAGTATACTGCATCTAAGCTTTCATTATATTTTTATTTTAAAAAATTATTATTTTTATAATTCTATTATACATGTATTTAAAATAAGTATTAATTTATTATTATTAATTATATATTTTTTATTTAAGTTGTTCTTTCTTTATATATATCAATAAATGACTTTATTAACTGGACTGTTTTAAACCAAATTAAGCAAATGACCTCAGAACGCAGCGCTTAATTATACTGTGGACCCATTGCAAATGGAAAATCAGGGTTTTATGTTTCTGTTTTTAGTTAGTTTTAATTTTACATTAACCATTATTTCTAATAAATGAATAAATCATAATTGTTCATTTAGGAACAACGCTCTATATGCACTTATCCCATATTACATTCACTCTTATTTTTTCTCCCATCCACCATAATTTGCCAAGTTAATTAAATAATCTGTAGAATACATAGAATTTTTTAAGACCGGAAAAAAAATTTTAAAAAATGTGATCTTTTAGGGTTTCACGACCTTCCAGAGCTTCTATTGCAATTTAAATCTAAAGTATTTTCAAAATTAACTTTTTTATTTTATATATTTAATTCCCTTAAAATTTAATTTTTATTTAATATCATCATATCTTCAAATTTTATAAATAAATAAATTTATTAATTTACATACATACAATACATACATATATACATGTATACATACATCTATATATTTATAGATTTTCCTCTATCGAAAAACTGTCGACATACAACTTCTTTGGTTTCATTTTATCAACATAAACATATTTTCATTTTGATTTTCGATTTAAACAGTTCATGCATATTAAGTTCAATTTTTTCTTTATTTTCGCCTTTGTCCAGCTGCACTGGACGGCTGGTTGCCCTACCTGATTTGGGGCTCTGCCAATTTGCTGGCCAATTGAAAATGCAATGCACGCCCCGGACCAAAAACTCATTTGCAACACTTCACGCAATGCAGGCGATTTCGATTTAGCCAAGATCAAGGGCGATAATAAAGAGCGCGGCGCATTGCAGCGCGTTGCGTGCCACAGCAGCGGCTATAAATAGCAGCAGGCAGCAGGCAACAAACAACAACCAACTGCAGCAGCAGCAGCAGGAGCAACAACAACTTGGTCTTATCCCAGCTGGCTGATCTTTACGCAACAACAGCAGCAGCAGCAACAGCAACAGTAACAAGCAACAACAGCAACAACAACATTCCTTTCGACATTTAATTAACGATCGCGATTGCAATCAATGCAACGCGTCTTGCCACGCCTTCCCGCCCCCGCTCCCGCTGCTCGCTCTGCTCGGCCCTGCTCTGCCCCGCCTGTGGTGGCCAGTTAGGCCAGAAAGCTGACAAATACTGTAATTAATTTTAATTGCAGCGATTGGCGCCCGCTTTTTCCGTCTCATTAAAGTTTGCTGCCTGCGGGCCTCAATTTAGGCCAACAGATGAAGGAGGCGAGCGGGATTGAGCGAGCTTTGAGGTCCTGTGAGCCTACAGGATTGTCTATCATAAACGGAAAGCAGCAACTATAAGCAGCAACAACAGCAACAGCAACAACAATGACAACCACGTTTTGGTACGTGTTTTTGCACCTAATTGCAGGCGTGTCGCCTACAAATGTTGCACGTAGAAGAGGCAGACGCAGAGGGTCGGCATGTCAGAGGATGGGCGTGCCAGGAAGTCGTGGCATTAGCAGCGCTTAATGCAGCATCAGTTCTTTGTTGATGGCCATCGATGTAGTTGCTGTTGCTGTTGTTGTTGCTGCTGT